AAAAAGTTTGAGATATCTGAGAGAGGAAAAAAAGAAGAGAAACATAGCATTATACAATAAAATTATTAGCAATGCATTTACATTATGCATATAATAATCCTATTCTATCAGTAATGCTTGCATTCATTCCTGACCACTGACAATCTCTTTCTTCCTCATTTTCAATGCATTCCTATAGTAAAATCATTAGCAATGCATTTCCATTATACATATAATAGCTCTATCCTATCAATAATGCTTGCATTCATTCCTGACCACTGACAATCCCTTTCTTTCTGATTTAATGAAGTCCTATATTAAAATCATTATCTATGTAAATATACAGCTAATGATTATACATACTGGGTGTGATGAGTAAATTGTTGCCATTTTATATTTTTAATTTTGTGTAAATGCATTGTTTGTTTTTGATTTTGTTGTTGGCACAGTATAGTAGAGTCAGTTGGGCACTGTGAGAAAAATGGTACCCTGTTGCAATTCACTCTGCCAGAAATTTGGAAACAGCATGCTGTACTGCTTGGCATTTGCACCAGAACCTCCAATACAAACACTTCAGAATGTCTAGGTGTCAATCTGGGGACAGTGTAGGGGATTCAGAAAGAATTGGATGAGTCTAATGGTGATTATGAAGGTATTTAGAGTGATCACTTGTGATGGCAACCATTATACCTCTATTCATCTTCCCATAGGGACTCAGACTCAACACAGAGGCCTACATCAAGTACATTGAGGAGATAGTGCTGCCTTGGGTTGAGGAGGTGGTGCTGCCCTGGGTCAAGAGGGTGGCTGCTGGAAGACCCTATGTCTGACAACAGGACTCTGCACCATGCCACACAAGCAGGAGAATCCAGTCATGACAGTCAGACAATTTCTGCAACCACATCACCCCTTACATCTGGCCAACTAACTCCCCAGACTGCAACTCTCTTGATCATTATGCGTGGGGTACATTTGAAGAAGAGACCAACAAAACTCCTTGTAAAACCAAAGATGAACTGAAGGAACTTAAATAAAGAGACCGTCCAGAAGAGTAGTGGGACATTTCGAAATTGTTTGGAGGCCATAGTTGAAGCCGATGGTGATTTTATTGAATAAATTTGCTCTTTAGTATTTTAAGATAATTTTGTGTAATTTTGGTAAATACATTTGTTCAAATGAGATGTCAGTATTATTTTCATTTTTATGTAATTTAGACAACAATTTATCTTTCGCACTGTGTAGATCAAAATGTCATTATAAGTATTTTTCACAAAAAGCATTAACTGTTCGCCCAACATTTCAGAAATTCAAACATTTTCAAATGGGCCTCCAATTCTGGTCCTGAGCTGCACCACATGTAGGCCTTTAGTATAGAATGCCATGTACTTATCCTTCCTATTTGACTACACTCTGTTCAAGGACATAACTCACACTGGGTCTGAATGAGAGGGAATGCTAAGTGAGTTGCCCACAGTCAGGTAACTCATACTGGGGCTGTTTTCTGAATGAGAGGGAATACCAACCATGATGCCCAGGTTTTGGTTGTAGAGATTTGTCTACTTTCATCTAAGGGTTAATCTCTATAGCTTCTTATTGAAATGAAAAGTTAGAGACATAATTGAATATTATCCAAGTCAGAGGAGAAAAAAAATTAAAATAAATAAAATGTCTTCTGTTTCTGGTGGAGTTATCTGCTGGGGTGGGGTCAAGTCCATGTGAAGAGGGGACACATAATTAAATCCATCCCAGCAACAGTGATTGCCTGGCTCTTCAAAACATTTCACAAATCTGTCTCCTCCTTGCAAAAGGCAATTCACAAAGACAGGCACAAGCATTTCTCGGATTCAGAATTCATAGGGAGGTCAAATGGTGTGAGATTACATAATGAAGGACATGGCTGTGTCTGCCAGCCTGTACAACATCACCTTCTTTAGTGCATGTGAAAATTTGATAGCTTTTTATCTGAGCCTCCTGTGTGGCTTCTGGACTGGCATGTTATTCCCCTCTTCTGTCTAATTGCAACCAAACATGACTACAATCTATTTTAATAGCACACTGGACAAGTAAATGAGAACAGGGAAAAGACTGCACTGCTGAGCTAAAAATATTGTGGTAAATAAGTGGTCAGAGGTGAACATAAATATCTCAGTGGTAAAGTGACATCTATACAAAGATAGAAAAATGCAAGCATGGAAAGCTTGTATTTTTAGGTGTACATGAGATACACCAATTTTCAAAACGAGGGCAAGTGCTGAGAAAGCCATAAAGATTTAACAAGAAAAAATGAATAATGGAATATAAGAATTAGAACAATAGATTGGAATAAACGTTAAGTGATAGATAGAAGATTCGTTCTTACCAGAGAACAAAATAGATTAACAACAAAAAATGAACAATGGAATAGAAGAATTAGAACAATGGAATAGAAGAATTAGAACAATAGATTGAAATAAATGTTAAGTCATAGATAGAAGATTCGTTCTTACCAGAGAACAAAATAGATTAACAACAAAAAATGAATAATGGAATAGAAGAATGAGAACAATAGATTGGAATAAACGTTAAGTGAGAGATAGATTTGTTCTTACTGGAGAACAAAACAGATTAACAACAAAAACTAATAATAAAAAATAACAATTATAACAATATACTATAAGAAAAGTTATGTTGATAGGTAGTTTTTGTCTAACAGCATATCAACACCTCTATGGGTTACTTAATGCTGAATTCTAAATATTTTGAATGTGACTTTTTTTTTTTTTTAAATAACAATGGTTTAGTGATACAAGTTTTACTAATTATCCCATAAACAGGAGAGATGAGATAGATTCATACCTTTATCAAGGGTATTTGTGCATAAGTAAATATAATGAACCCAACTGGAATTGTAACTCAGCTCTCCAATTAACAACTCCAAACCATTATCCATTACACCACCTGTACATCCAAGCTTACAGCACCTGGTATTCCAAAGCAGTCACCCATCTAGGTATTGACCAGGCTTGGTGTTGCTTCACTTTGGTGAAAAAGTTGTGTGTGAAATAGAAGAGTCATTCTTAGCGAAGATTTTATTAGGCACAATGAGAGATTAATAACAAAGAATAAAACAACAATTTATGTGACGGATGAATCATTCTTAATGGAGATCTAAGACAATTTAAAATACCATTGTTTTTCCACTCTCCTTAATAGAAAACATTAACATTTTCACTTAAAGAAAGCATTTTATGGCTTCTCTTTCTCATATCCAAATTACCAACATTACAAGTAAGGATCTGCAATATAATCCATCCTGACCAGGCATCTCAACTTCAGTCACTTTCTCACTGAAGTAATACGGCTTAGCTATGTCTTTTCTGCAAATACTTTCATGGCAACTGCTCTGACAAGCTTTTATCATTGATGCCCCCAAATACATGAATTTAAGCATGCTACAAGATTGGCATCTATGTTGCCTCCTTTTAGTGTTGAAATAGTTAAATGTAACTGCCTCTTCTTCTTCAACAGTTTCTTTTCTCACACTTCCCACCTGTGGCACTAACTTCTGTTTACTTGCTTCCCTGATAGCTACAATCTTCAAAAATTTAAATGCAACATCAATCACATCTGTCTTCTTTAGTCAGTTTGATTCACAATTGATGATCTATACTTTTCTCTTTGAACCACACTAAACAAATTCCTGATAAATATCCTTATGGATATTTCCACTGTGGAGCAGTTGTAAGATAGTCTTGCAGAGTGGTTTTTTCAGTTCAATTCTTACTTTTTCTGTCCACTTTTAACCCTATGATTTACACTATTTACATGTGGACTATTGTCCTCATCTTTGTTGTTACCACATTTAGGTTTTTGTGCCCTCCAGCCTTCATCAAGCACATGTTGATCTGAGTAACCTTCAAGAAATTTTAAATCTAACCCTTTATTTAATCAAAGAGTTAGATTGTAATTAGCACTACTAAAAAAGCAAAAAAACAATATCTCTGGACATGTTCAGTTTGAAATTCCATGACAGTTACCCAGATCGACCAGCACCTGAGGAAGGCCAGAGGGCATAACGGCCGAAACGTGATAACAAATATGAGGACAATAGTCTGCATGTAAATAATGATAACTCCTCATCCCAGAAATCCAGACAGACATCACAATAACTTGGGACCTTCCTTATGCCATAATGGTTAACAACTTTATTTCATGCAGATTTATTACTCAAGTGAGTAATAATTATTACTCTAGTGAGTAATAATTATTACTCTAGTGAGTAATAATTATTACTCTCGTGAGAGAGAGTCACTGGGCAGCAGACAGATTAAAAAATGTTTATCTTTCTTTCTCTTTCTTCTCATTGTACAAATTTTTTTCCATCCACCTCACCTTCTGAGCATATCAACATCTATATGATTCGGTTAGTTAACAAACCTAATGTGACAATTCCTGACTCCTCTTGGGTTTGAAAAGTAGGACTCAGGTGGAGAAAACCCATTAGAGACCTAAGTGGCGCGAGTGGCACAAGTTTACTTGCCACTTGGGCATGGCCCTCCCCAGGGTGGAGTCAATCAAAGAGACATGCTGTAATATCAGAAGAAGCTCAAGTGGTTGGCAATGGTATGTTTGGCAGTTTGGATACAAAACAGTAGAAGTCAGGTTTGGAAACTGGGAGTGAATCCATGTTGAAGTCATTCTCTTTTTCTCTTCCTCCCAGTAGAAGACTGGTAATGAGAGAGAAAGAGCAAGAGAGAGAAAGTACTAGTGATAAATTAGAAATGGATGTGCATTCAGTTTCTCCCCAGGCAATAAAGGGAAGTTGAAATCAAAGTTATCTGATTGTAAAGATGAGATGTGTTTTCATTTCCTCCCTGACTGGCAACAAAGTTGACAGAGTTCAAGTGCAGAGGAAAACAAGAAACAATGTTTCTTACTGCACTTTAGAGACATTTGAGGCAAAAAGCTAAGGTTTGCATCACTAACTTCCACATGCAATGAAACAAGAAGCAAACAACATTCATCTTTGATATGAAAAGAAATTAAGGAACAGGAGAAAGGAAAGAGAAAGAATAAGAGAGACAGAGTAAAAAGAGGGAGAGAGAGAGAGAGAAAGGAGAGAGAGAAAGAACAGAGAGAGAGAGAAGAGAGAGAGAGAGAGAAAGAAGAGAGAGAGAAAGAAAGAGAGAGAGAGAAAGAACAGAGAGAGAGAGAGAAAGAACAGAGAGAAAGAGAGAAAGAACAAAGAGAGAGAAAGAACAAAGAGAGAGAAAGAACAAAGAGAGAGAAAGAACAAAGAGAGAACAGAGAGAGAAAGAACAAAGAGAGAGAACAGAGAGTGAAAGAACAAAGAGAGAGAACAGAGAGTGAAAGAACAAAGAGAGAGAGAGAGAAGAGAGAAAGAAAAGAAGAAAAGAGAGAGAGAGAGAACAGAGAGAGAGAAAGAAAGAACAAAGAGAGAGAACAGAGAGGAAAGAACAGAGAGAGAACAGAGAGAAAAGAACAAAGAGAGAGAGAACAGAGAGAAAGAGAGAGAGAGAAAGAACAAAGAGAGAGAAAGAACAAAGAGAGAAAGAACAAAGAAGAGAGAGAGAGAAAAGAGAGAGAAGAGAACAGAGAGCGAAAGAACAAAAGAGAGAGAGAGAACAGAGAGCGAAAGAACAAAGAGAGAGAGAGAACAGAGAGCGAAAGAACAAAAGAGAGAGAGAGAACAGAGAGCGAAAGAACAAAGAGAGAGAGAGAACAGAGAGCGAAAGAACAAAGAGAGAGAGAGAGAACAGAGAGCGAAAGAACAAAGAGAGAGAGAGAACAGAGAGAGAAAGAACAAAGAGAGAGAACAGAGAGCGAAAGAACAAAGAGAGAGAACAGAGAGCGAAAAGAATAAAAGAGAAACAGATAAAAGAAAGAGAGAAAACAGAGCAAAAGAACAAAGAGAGAGAACAGAGAGTGAAAAGAACAAAAGAGAGAGAGAAAGAGAGAAAGAACAAAGAGAGAGAGAACAGAGAGCGAAAGAACAAAAGAGAGAGAGAGAAAGAGAGAACAAAAAGAAAAGAGAGAGAGAGAGAGAAGAACAAAGAGAGAGAAAGAACAAAACGAAGAGAGAGAGAGAGAGAGAGAGTGAAAGAACAAAGAGAGAACAGAGAGAAAGAACAAAGAGAGAGAAAAGTTTTTAAAGAACAAAGAGAGAGAGAGAACAGAGAGAAAGAACAAAGAGAGAACAGAAAAAGAACAAAGAGAGAGAGAAACAGAGAGAGAACAAAGAGAACAGAACAGAGAGAAAGAACAAAGAGAGAGAAAAAGAACAAAGAGAGAGAGAGAGAAGAGAGAGAGCAGAACTTAAAGAACAAAAAGAGAGAGAGAACAGAGAACAAAAAGAGAGCGAAAGAACAAAGAGAGAGAGAGAACAGAGAGCGAAAAGAAAAAAAGAGAGAGAGAGAACAGAGAGAAAAGAACAAAAGAGAGAGAGAGAAAAAGAAAGAAAAAAGAAAAGAGAGAGAAAAGAGGAAAGAGAGAGAGAGAAAAGAACAAAGAGAAAGAAAGAGAGAGAGAGAAGAAGAGAAGCGAAAGAACAAAGAGAGAGAAGAGAGAGAAAGAACAAAGAGAGAGAAAAAGAGAGAGAGAAGAGAGAGAAAGAACAAAGAGAGAGAAGAGAGCAGAAAAGAACAAAGAGAGAGAGAGAGAGAGAGAGAAAGAACAAAGAGAGAGAACAGAGATCAAAGAACAAAGAGAGAGAACAGGGAGAGAGAGAAAGAAGAAAGAGAGAGAGAGAGAGAGAGAAAAAGAAAAGAGAGAGAGAGAGAACAGAGAGCGAAAAGAACAAAGAGAGAGAGAGAGAACAGAGAGCGAAGCACAAAGAGAAAAAGAACAAAGAACAAAGAGAGAGAGAGAGAGAGAACAGAGAGAGAAAGAAAAAGAACAAAGAGAGAGAAAGAAGAAAGAGAGAAAGAACAAAGAGAGAGAGAACAGAGAGCGAAAGAACAAAAAGAGAGAGTAAAGAAAGAGAGAACAGACAAAAGAACAAAGAGAGAGAGAACAGAAAGAACAAAAGAAGAAAGAGAGAGAAAAAGAGAACAGAGAGAGGAAAAGAACAAGAGAGAGAGAGAAAAGAGAAAGAAAGAACAAAAGAGAGAGAGAGAAAGAGGAAAGAACAAAGAGAGAGAAGAGAGAGAAGAACAAAGAGAGAGAGAAGAGAACAGAGAGCGAAAGAACAAAAGAGAGAGAGAGAACAGAGAGTGAAAGAACAAAGAGAGAGAGAGAGAAATAGAGAAAAGAACAAAGAGAGAGAGAGAGAACAGAGAGCGAAAGAACAAAGAAAGAACAAAAGAGAGAGAGAGAGAGAAAGAACAGAGAGAAAGAGAAAGAGAGAAAAGAACAAAGAGAGAGAGAGAACAGAGAGAAAAAGAACAAAGAGAGAGAGAGAGAACAGAAACGAAAAGAACAAAGAGAGAGAGAGAAAGAGAGCGAAAAAGAAAGAGAGAGAGAGAGAGAGAACAGAAAGAGAAAAGAAGAAAAAGAGAGAGAGAGAACAGAGAGCGAAAGAACAAAGAGAGAGAGAGAGAACAGAGAGCGAAAGAACAAAGAGAGAGAGAGAACAGAGAGCGAAAGAACAAAGAGAGAGAGAGAAAGAGAAAAAGAACAAAGAAGAGAGAGAAACAGAGAAAGAACAAAGAGAGAGAGAAGAACAGAGAGAAAGAACAAAGAGAGAGAGAGAGAACAGAATCAAAAGAAAAGAGAGAGAGAGAAGAGAGAAGAGAAGAACAAAAAGAAGAAAGAGAGAGAGAGAACAGAGAGAGAAAAGAACAAAGAGAGAAAGAGAGAGAACAGAGAGAAAGAACAAAGAGAGAGAGAGAATAGAGAGAAAAGAACAAAGAGAGAGAGAGAAAAGAGACAAAGAACAAAAGAGAGAGAGAGAGAAAGAGAGAGAGAAAGAGAGAGAAAGAGAGAGAGAGACAAAGAGAGAGAGAGAGAGAACAGAGAGTGAAAGAACAAAAGAGAGAGAGAGAACAGAGAGAAAAGAACAAAGAGAGAGAGAGAACAGAGACAAAGAACAAAAGAGAGAGAGAAGAAGAGAGAGAAGAGAAACAGAAAGAGAGAGAGAGAGAGAGAGAGAAGAAAAGAACAAAGAGAGAGAGAGAGAGAGAAAGAGAAGAGAGAAAGAAAAAAGAGAGAGAGAGAGAGAGAGAACAGAGAGAGAAAAGAACAAAAGAGAGAGAGAACAGAGAAAAGCAAAGAACAAGAGAGAGAGAGAGAGAAAAGAACAAAGAGAGAGAGAACAGAGAGCGAAAGAAAGAAGAAAGAGAGAGAGAAACAGAGAGAAAAGAGAGAGAGAGAGAGAGAGAAAAAGAGAGAGAACAGAGAAAAGAACAAAAAGAGAGAGAGAGAACAGAGAGCGAAAAGAACAAAGAGAGAGAGAGAAAGAGAGAAAGAGAACAAAGAGAAGAGAGAAAGAGAGAGAAAGAGAGAGAAGAGAGAGAAAAGAGAGAGAGTAAAGAGAAGAGAGAGAAAGAGAGAACAGAGAGAGAAAGAGAGAGAGAAAGAACAAACAAAGAGAGAGAGAGAGAACAAAAAGAGAAGAACAGAAAGAAAGAAAGAACAAAGAGAGAGAGAGAGAACAGAGAGAGAGAAAGAACAAAAGAGAGAGAGAGAACAGAGAGAAAAGAAGAAAAAGAGAGAGAGAGAAAGAGAGAGAAAAGAACAAAGAGAGAGAGAACAGAGAGAGAAAAGAACAAAGAGAGAGAGAGAACAGAGAGAGAAAGAGAGAGAAAACAGAGAGAGAGAGAACAGAGAGAAAGAGAGAACAGAGAGAGAAAAGAAAAGAGAGAGAGAACAGAGAGAAAGAACAAAGAGAGAGAACAGAGAGAAAGAACAAAGAGAGAGAGAGAGAAAGAGAGAGAAAAGAACAAAAAGAGAGAGAGAGAACAAAGAGAGAGAACAGAGAGGAAAGAACAAAAAGAGAGAGAGAGAACAGAGAGAAAGAACAAAAGAGAGAGAGAGAGAACAGAGAAAGAGAGAACAAAGAGAGAGAGAGAACAGAGAAGAGAGAGCGAAAAGAACAAAGAGAGAGAGAGAACAGAGAGCGAAAAGAACAAAAGAGAGAGAGAGAGAGAGAGAGAACAAAGAACAAAGAGAGAGAGAGAGAAAGAACAAAGAGAGAGAACAAAGAGAAAGAGAGAGAAGAGAGAGAACAGAGAGAGAGAACAGAGAGGAAAAAGAACAGAGAGAGAAAGAGAGAACAGAGAGAAAAGAGAGAACAGAGAGAGAAAGAGAAAAGAACAGAGAGAGAAAGAGAGAGAACAGAGAGAAAAGAGAGAGAAAGAGAGAGAACAGAGAAAGAACAAAGAGAGAACAGAGAGAAAGAAGAGAGAGAGAGAGAGAGAAAGAGAGAGAAGAGAGAGAAAGAACAAAGAGAGAGAGAGAGAGAACAGAAAGCAAAGAAGAACAAAGAGAGAACAAGAGAGAACAAAGAGAGAACAGAAGAAAAAGAACAAAGAGAGAGAGAGAAACAGAAAGCGAAAAAAGAAAGAGAGAGAGAGAACAGAAAGCGTAAAGAACAAAGAGAGAGAGAGAGAACAGAAAGCAAAGAAAGAACAAAAGAGAGAGAGAGAGAACAGAAAAGAAAAGAGAGAACAAAGAGAGAGAGAGAGAAGAGAAAGGAAAGAACAAAGAGAGAGAGAGAGAAGAGAAAAAGAGAAAAGAAGAAGAGAGAGAGAGAGAGAAAGAGAGAAGAGAAGAAAAGAGAAGAGAGAGAGAGAGAACAGAGAGAGAGAGAGAACAGAGAGAAAGAGAGAGAACAGAACAAAAAAGAGAAAGAAGAGAGGAAAGAGAGAGAGAAGAGAGAGAAAGAGAAAAGGAAAGAGAACAAGAGAGAGAGAGAACAAAGAGAAGAGAGGAAAGAAGAGAAAGAAAAGAGAGAGAGAGAACAGAAAGCTAAAGAACAAAGAGAGAGAGAGAGAGAGAACAGAGAGTGAAAGAGAGAGAACAGAAAGCGAAAGAACAAAGAGAGAGAGAGAACAGAAAGCGAAAGAACAAAGAGAGAGAGAGAACAGAAAGCGAAAGAACAAAGAGAGAGAGAGAACAGAAAGCGAAAGAACAAAGAGAGAGAGAGAGAACAGAAAGCGAAAGAACAAAGAGAGAGAGAAGAGAGAGAACAGAAAGAACAAAGAAAGAGAGAGAGAGAACAGAAAGCGAAAGAACAAAGAGAGAGAGAGAACAGAGAGCGAAAGAACAAAGAGAGAGAGAGAGAACAGAGAGCGAAAGAACAAAGAGAGAGAGAGAACAGAGAGCGAAAGAACAAAGAGAGAGAGAGAACAGAGAGTGAAAGAGAGAGAACAGAGAGTGAAAGAACAAAGAGAGAGAGAGAGAACAGAAAGCGAAAGAACAAAGAGAGAGAGAGAGAGAACAAGAAAAAGAAAGAAGAAAAAGAGAGAGAGAGAGAGAAGAGAGAAAGCGAAAAGAACAAAAGAGAGAGAGAGAGAAAGAAGAAAGAGAGAAAGAACAAAAGAGAGAGAGAGAGAACAGAAAGCTAAAAGAACAAAAAGAGAGAGAGAGAACAGAAAGCTTAAAAGAACAAAGAGAGAGAGAACAGAGAACAAAAGAGAAGAACAGAGAGAGAGAGAGAACAGAGAGAGAGAAAGAACAGAAAAAAGAGAGAGAGAGAGAGAACAGAGAGCGAAAGAACAAAAGAGAGAGAGAGAACAGAGGAAGCGAAAGAACAAAGAGAGAGAACAGAAAGCGAAAGAACAAAGAGAGAGAGAACAAAGAGCGAAATAACAAAGAGAGAGAGAGAGAACAGAGAGCGAAAGAACAAAGAGAGAGAGAGAACAGGGAGTGAAAGAACAAAGAGAGAGAACAGAGAGTGAAAGAACAAAGAGAGAGAACAGAGAGTGAAAGAACAAAGAGAGAGAACAGAGAGTGAAAGAACAAAGAGAGAGAACAGAGAGTGAAAGAACAAAGAGAGAGAGAGAACAGAGAGCGAAAGAACAAAGAGAGAGAGAGAACAGAAAGCGAAAGAACAAAGAGAGAGAGAGAGAACAGAGAGTGAACAGAGAGTGAAAGAACAAAGAGAGAGAGAGAACAGAGAGCGAAAGAACAAAGAGAGAGAGAGAGAACAGAGAGCGAAAGAACAAAGAGAGAGAGAGAGAGAACAGAGAGTGAAAGAGAGAGAACAGAGAGTGAAAGAGAGAGAACAGAGAGTGAAAGAGAGAAAAAACAGAAAATCTAGGTTTGATTCCTGTAAGGAGTGGAAAGCATAATATCTTTGATGGAACTTAATTTTTAGGCAGATTCCAGTATTGAAAAAAAAAAAAAAAAAAAAAAAAAAAAAAAAAAAAAACATATGCCTACTCAGACATGTACCCACTAATTTAAAAAGTTGTACAAAAAATGAAAATTCTTTATTGAGGGTTTTTTTTTTCATTTATTTTTTTTTTCCCTATATTTCTGACCATTTTCCTGGGAAAATTTGAACATAAATTTTCTGATGTGTGAATCCTTTGGGCTTTCAGAAACCATTATCTGAGAATTTTTTATGATAAAAACTATGCAAATAAACCAGCGTTCTTTCTTCTTTTTTTTTTTAAATTGTAAACCTGGAAAACAGCCCTAAATATTAAAAAATCAACAAATAAATCCTTAAGAAAGAACTTTCACTGGTCTTCAGTCAAATGTGCTCAGACTACGTCACAAGTCATAGTGACCAAAAGGTTTTGAGTGTACTAGCCATGTTCAACTGGTGATTCTGCCAGAAACTGGAACTAAAATCAGCTCAGTATAGTGGCAATATAAACCACAGTTTGGTTCTATGACAAATGTACCTGAGCAGGTATTTGCAACAGGGATTAAACCCCCACCACCAGCACCTTAGAAGTGAGCAGCCATTATACATTTCAGAGAAAGATGAACAGAATGCATCAAAAATTCATATGAAAATCTGTATTAGAAAAGAAAAAGAAAAAAATTATTATCTGTCCAGCACTTTGTGTGAGACTTTACATTCACTAATGCAATGTACAATGCAGTTCGATAAAAGTGACTCACCTGATTTATTTTCACTAAATGTTCTCTTCTCCGATGAAACAAAAGTTGAGCTAAATTCAAAGGATAAGTGATCTAAAATTCGAAGAAGCTTTGCAAGTTCTTTGAATTTAGCAGTAAGTAATGTCAAGCATCCGTTCAGTATAATCTTCTGGGGATGCTTTTCTTTTCATGGAACTGGTTTCATAAAACCTATTGAAAAGACCCTCAGGAGCGTGCAATACAAAAGAATTTTAGAGTCTTGTCTGCCCCCTTCTGCTGAAAGGGTGCAAATCGACCCAACCAAGCTCATTTTTATGCAGGATAATGCTCCCTGTCACAAATCAAAATTGATGAAGGAATACTTTGATGAGTAGCATGTGAGTGTTATGACATGGCCGCCCCAATCTCCTCATCTCAACCCTATAGAAAACTTATGGAGTATTATAAAGTAGAGGCTCTCGAGAAAGCAGTTGACCAACAAAGAGGATTTGATTGTGAATTTCATATCCGAATGGAATTCAATGCTTGGAGATGAGATTTGCCAGAACCTAATCAAGTCAATGCCAAAAAGGATTGAAAAGGTTCTTCAAAATAAAGGAGGACACATAGATTATTAAATAATTTGAACTATATTACCTATTATAAATAAATTATACCTCTATTATTCTTTATTTAAAGCTGTTCGGTTATGTTTCTATTGATTACTAGTTGCAGGAAATAAGTGAGTCACTTTTTTGCACAGAGTTTTTTCCTAAATCTCATTTATATCCAAAATTATAATTATCAATAGAATACGTTAGGGTGAGTAAACTTTTTTACTAGGTGGTCAGGAAGGGGTCTTTATATTGGTAAGATTAAAAATTAGTTTGACCCCAAAAACAATAGGTGAAAAAATTTTTAAGTAAAAAAAATCAGGTGAGTCACTTTTAGTGAACAACACTGTATATGTACAAGTTTGTATTGTGCATGACTGGTTTGCATATGTCTGCGACATTTAATGAACACACATGCACACGTATATACACAACTAAGTATAAAAATAACATATATTAATTCCATATTCTTCTCCCAACCTATCTGGACAACTCCTACTCTGGGCTAAGCAATAAAATCGTCATGTTGAAAAAAAATAAATAAATAATTAAGACAGTTCATTAAAACCTTAAAAATCAGATATTTATAAAACTTTATTCAAATTTATTTTTTTATTTTTTTTTTCAAGAAATTATTCAGTAATGACGTATTTTAATGTTTTTTATTTTCATTTTAGAGGCATTTTTCAGGCTCTCATGTATTTTAAACAGACAAGCAATTTAGATTTGAAATTTGATCATCTTGACATCATCGGAAGTGACATGTACCAAGATATTATCATAAATGCCGGTTCAAGTAAATGGCTTCTGTATTTAAGCTGAATATATTTTCTAATAAATATTGTAGTTTAAATGGACAAACAATTTAAATTTGAAATTTGATCATCTTGCCGTCAATGAAGCAATAGGTAGTAACATCGTCCTTGAAGGTAGTGTTTCTTGTTTTGCGTTGAATCTTTGCAAACCAATACCAAATCATTTGTCAGCATTTGTATTCTGTTTCCACAGCTTTCTTAGTCATCAGTCCCACATAGAACAATATGTCTGGTTAATTTCCAGAAGACTACTGACGCCATGACACAGATATATTTTCAGATGCTTGTAAATATAATATATAGCTGATACTGCATTAATCTTAAAATATCCAACTGAAAAATAAGACTTACAGTCATTGTCTCCAAATTCATTTCAGTTAAGTGCCATGCATGATACATACTTAGGTGATCATGTCTCATTCAATTTATGACTGACTAGGCAGGAGATTTTCTTGCGATAGGTTGCTGTTTCTTTTACTTAAGGTAAAGTAAAACAAAAATAAAATTAAAAAGGACGTGAAAAGATCTGACCTTTCTATTGACCTTCAAATCACTAAAGTCTAAAACAAATGCAAGCTCAAATCTCATCAAGGGCTATGTCTTCATTTCTAATGTTACTTACTTCAGAGCATGGAATGTAGATTAATTTTAGTAATGTCATTAAAAATAAGACCAGTAAAATAAAGATAGATTAGTCAAAATTAAAAATAATGCTTCATTCAAGAGATTCAGAAAATGGCAACATAAATATATTATCTATATATATTCTATTTTTAATAGAATATATTGAATTCCACAGCAAAATTTGGTATTAATTATAAAAGCTAAAATAAAAATCTAGTACTAATTACAAAATCTAAAATAAAAATATGGTATTAATTAAAAAAGCTGAAGATTTCCAGCCATGAAATCTGGTTTGATTTTATTAGGTTTGTTTTATGACATATCAACCACAATGGATGAATGCCAACAAAATTTCTTTTTTTCCAAAAATGCATAGCTGGTAACATTTTTTTTACAAAAAATGTATAGTGAGGTTTTTTTTGTTTTGTGGCATATTAACCTCAATGGGTTATTTAATGCTGACAAAATTTTTATTTCTGGTAATATTTTCTTTTTTCAAATATTTATTGCTGATACTAATTTTTTTTTTTTTTTTTTTTAAGTATTTCTGGTATTAAAATCTATTTTTACACTTTCATAGTGTTTTGAGTCAGGTTGTAGGGTCAACTATTTGCCCATAGCTGGGACACTAACGGGTCAGGGCGGACCTGGGAACACCAGCAATTAAGAGGTTGTTCCATGCTCCTCAAAACCTCCTGATCAGTGGCCTTGCTGTTGGATGTAGTTTATCGTCTTACCCAGGATGCAGGTGCAGTTTATCGTCATACCCAGGACGCCCATGAAATCTGGGTTCAAATATCACCATAGTGGTTTTGTCACCTCCCTAGCAAAACAACTATGGTGAAATTTGAATCCAGGTTTCATGGTTGGAAATCAAACATTCAAGAGTTTCTTAAACTGAAAAATTTTGAAAAACTAATATTTCTACTTTATTAATTTATACTTTATTAATATTTGTTGCAAAGTAAAATCCTTACATTTCCTTTAATCAAGTCCTTCAGGGAACAAAATGCTTTGGCTAAAAGAAGTTTTCCTTTTGTATTATATATATATATATATATATATATATATGAATGTGTTATTGTGACATTAGACATTGTTACAATGATAGCAAGAAAATATAATTGTAATTTTAAAAGAGCACAACAGATCTTGAGAGGCTACATGTTTGAATGCAATCTTCAGACCATGTGCATTGAGTGGTGGCTCAACTATTTTTTTATGCTGGTCAATGTGGCATGTAGCAAGGACCACCATTTCTGGCTTATTGTATTATCAAGCAGGAAACAGACTGTTGCAACTCAACATTGACCTCTTATACAGAAATACTTCCCATACACACTTTCCACTTATTGGTAAGACATTCGTGGCAATGGTGTTTTCATTTAGCTAATGTCTTATCATTATGTGGGAGATATTTCTGAACTACCTTGTATTTACATGCACACAACCATGAGTATAGCATACTTTAAAACTGGATTTTTATCACAACCACAAGTATGGCTTTATATGAATCTTCTAAAATTGCTGACAAAGAACACTTTTTAATAGAATTTTTTTTTTAAGCAAAGCAGACATATTTAATGCTTTTCACATCATCTACAGCAGATGACAAATTTCTACCTTCAACTTGAGACAGGAAAACATGAAAGGAAATTTTATACAATAGATTCAGAGTGCTTTTAGCTTCCATATGACATTATCAATGACTTTTATTTTCATGTTGATATAGCAGTGAAGAGCTGACACTGAAAAACAACGAAAGAAAAAACAAAGCAAACAAAAAAAACTCATTGATAATGGCTTTTGAAAATATGAGACAATAAAATGTTTTGCAATTCTAGCAAAAAGGGAATATCACAATGTGATAGGATTCTTTGGAAAAAATGCAAGAGAATTTGCTGTGTGCGTGCTGCAATAGGACAGAATTTGCTGCATGTATATCACAACAGGATAGAAGTTGTTGCATGTCTGTCACAATGAGACAGAATTTGTTGTACACCTCTCATGACTGACATAACACTGAAAAACAACCGAAGAAAACACAAAGCATACACAAAAACTCATTAATAATGTCTTATGAAAGCGAGAAGCACTCAGAAGACACTGGACAATTTATGTTCAAATTATCTCTGGAAAACAAGAAAAGGGTTTGAAATGTGGTTTGATTTGATTCATTTTTTCTTAACTTTTTGTTATTAAAGCTATAAACATATTTTTAGATAATAATCATTCATTCATACAGGTCTTACTAATTAACCCATAGCTGAGAGGAGAAGTAGATTCATACCATTCCTAAGCATATTTGTGCATAAGTGAAAACAATGAACTGGAATTGGAACTGTACACTCTGATTGACTCCAAGCCTTTATTCATTACACCACCCACACATCCAAGCTTACAACATCTGGTATTCCCAAGTGGTCACCAATCTAAGTACTGATCAGGCTTGACATTGCTTAATTTCAGAGATTGTACAGGGAACCAATGTTTCAATGTGATATGGCCATATGACTGGTTATAACTGTGTAAAAATTCAATAAAAAAAAGAAGAAATTTTCAACTAAGGATAATTTTTGGTCATCCACCTAATGTTCATTTTTTTTATATACTTTCATTTTCCTCACTTGATATCTAAATTGTCATGAAAAGTATAGGGAAACTGCCCAAAGTTCATTCAAACATCTCCAGTCATTATCAGAAATATGTTATTGCAGCATATTTTTTTTTTTTAATCTTTTCACCCCAAGCAAGGCAGGAATGCCACTGGTGTGCAGGGAGTTACAGAGAGTGAACGTGAGAGAAAAGACTGGATATAGAAAAGGACTGAGGAAAGCATAAAAGCATAAAAGGTGAATGAATGGGGTTCAAGAAGATAGAAGATGGTGATTAACATTGCATTTAAATTTTTGAAGATTGTAGTTATCAGGGGAGCAAGGAAATAGAAGAAAGTTTCACTGGCAGGAAATGCAAAAAAAAAAAACTACTGGAGTAGAAGTGATGGTTACATTTAACTAATTCAACAGTAAAAAGTAGCCAATCTAGTAAACACACGTCAAACACACATAGTTTGGACACCAGGGTAAAAAAAAAAAACCTGTCAGAGCCAATCTAGTAAACACATGTCAGACACACATAGTTTGAACACCAGGGTAAAAAAAAAAAAAACCTGTCAGAGCAGTTGCCATGAAATTATTTGTAAAAAAGACAGATAGAAGCCACATCACATAGGTGGGAAAATGACTGAAGTTGAGATGCCAGGTCAGGACTGATTATATTGCAGATCCTCCTTACGATTTTGCCAAGAACTTTGAATGAGTACCAGGAGCACCAGACAAGGTATGGCAACAGTATTCAATGCACAGACGAAATTTTAGGAATGTTACATTTCCAATTTAAATATTGTTAGTGGGTGATAACTTACTTCCCCCTATAAAGGGGCAATAACTCAAAATACAATTGAGTTACATCTCATCCTCTAGTTGGACTAGCACTTCTTAATTCAACACAGTGATAATGTTTTCTCTTTTTCTCATTCTTTCATACTTTGTAATCCCTTGCATCTTAGTGGCTTTATTGCCTTCCTTAGTTTGAAATGATCTTAAAAAAATGTAATGAATTTAACTGGAATTCAAACTCAGCTCGCCAATTCATGTCATCGGTAAATTGGTATTAATATCAGTGTCTACTGAACATAGTGTGAGTTATTGGTTTTATATTGTTACCAAGTTGTAAACTGATTCCCCTAAACTTACGACATAGTAATAATTAGAAAAATTACTTCAAAGATTCACATGTTGAAAATATAGAGACTTAAATTTTTGACAGCATGTGTAAATTTGTACAAATATACGATTCTATAGTGAGCATAAGGCAATATTATTGATTTTCTATTATTAAGTAATACATTGATCACCAGAATGATTCCATATTAATTGGAAAAAATATATTGAAAGACTCGTGTGTGCAAACCTTACAACAATGGATCAATATCTACGAAGCCTCACAGTGTTATTAAGTGAAACTTGATATAATGTTCAGTCAATGTGATCGATGGAGTAATGTTGGACTATTTACATTGACAGTAAAAGAAGTTATTTTTGGAAAATAAATATTTCTTGTATCAAATGAATGTTTTTTTTTTTTTTTTTTGTCCTAACATTAGTCTCAGGACACATTGATGTTCTGACTATATATACTATATATATATATATATATATATATATATATATATATATATATATATATATACACACAGGTTTGGGGACCAGTCAGATTTCAAATGTAATTGATTTTTCATTTAAAATACTACCTTTATTAAAAATTACATTGTTTTGATACAGTAGTTATAAAAGATGACTTCAAAGTGCTGTACATTTTAGCTTCCTCTTTTCCTGTTACCCAGGGGTAATTGCCAGACAAAAAGGGAGGTAAGCCCTCATGATGCACAAGTCCATTTCAATTTTAAACAGTGTGTGTACATATGTGTGCATTTTAATTCAATGACAACTCTAAAAATATTTTAACAAAAAATATAAAAAAGAAAAAAAAAACTTTAAAAAGATAATTCTTTTTCTCAACTAATTTCCAAAAAGTTCAATAAGATCTTAGAATTATTTGATTTTTCTTTTCCAATTTAAAAAAAAAAAAAATTTTTGTCTTTTCTTTGATCTCCAACTTTGATTTTATTGCTCAGCCCAGGATATGAGTTGTCCAGACTGAGTGTGAGAGGGCTGTATAATTCTCTTATTTGAAACTTTTTCGTGATTGTAGATGTTTGCTTGTACATTAGTACATTGATTACCAACCAAGACATAACTCATGGTTGGCACTTTTTATGCTGGCAACTAAGTGTTATCTTATGTTTGGAATTTTCTGATATATTTTTTAGTGCAAAAACAATGTTAAGACTTCAGTTAAAGTAATAAATCACTCAACACATATAATTTTTTTATTGTCTAAGTTGTCTATTATAAAGTTGGTGTTTGAAGTCGGATTTCATAATTGACCTCTGGTAGCCAACATCAAATGGCACAAGCAGTTCCAGCTCACTCATACACAACACAGACACATATTGTATAGACACATGCAAAATCATGCAGACAGACATATACATATATTGCATACACACATGCAAAAGTACATACAGTGTATACTGGAGAAAGAATCCAGTCTTTTACAATACTGACTGTGAGAGCAAGCAGATAAAAGGCAGGATCAGCATCTCCATATCCAGATATAAGCTAATTTTTCTTCTTGGTATATATAGCAGAAGTACTCCATTTTCAGTTTGATCTGGGAACCAATCATTTTTCTTTTATTTTTGAACTGTACGTAAGAGTTCTAGTTGAGGTCCTGTTTGAACTTGTCCCGATAGGTACTCATGGCATGGAGCTTCACTGAGATAAGACCTGTTCATCTGAAGTACAAATTTTGGGTTTGCTCAGTGCTTAGTGAACATCACCAGTTTCATTTTTGAGGCATTGAATTTGACCAGCCAGTTTTACCTCTACTGAGCTGTTCAAACTAGAACATAAGTGAGATCAGTTGCCATCCTCTACTCATCTACAGTTTTGGAGGTGCACCCATATACTGTTTCACCATCAGCATAAATATTCACAAACGATCAGGGTATAATCTCAGATCATTTATGTTGGATTGAGAAGCAAGCTTTGGGAGACCCCTGCGTTGATTGCTTGGGCCTCAATTGACTTCAGGGACCTACCCATTAGAAACAATTTCATAACTGATAAGACTTTTTTAGTGATTCCAAGCTACTGAGCTTGTGCAGTATCCCACAATGATACACTTTGTCAAAGGCCTTTAAAAAATCTAATGTGATTATCCTTGAGATGTATTTCTTGACTAATGCCTCACTAATTATATGAGTAATGACAGCATATCAGCAGTAGACCAAGCTGGTTGAAATCCATACTATTTGTCACTCAGGAGGTTGTCCCTATTAAGATTATCAACAGCCTTTTTGTTGATTATAACTTCAAAAGGTTTGCAAATGACATGAGAAGGCTGATGGGCCTATACTCACCTATGTTTTCGGTTATTTAAACAGTGTGAATTACATCTACTGATCCACACATTAGTGAGACTCAACAAAGGAAATGTGCTCTCCAGCAGAATTTGAGCCAACATCTAAAACAGTGGTTCTTAAACTGGCAATTTATTTTTTTTTTTTACGTGATTTTAGCGGCATTTTTTTTTGTACAATAACAATTTTTTATAACTTGGAAATACATTTGGGAATAATTGAAATTAATTGCAAAATCCAAGAAAAGCCACCCATGAAATAAAAATAACTGTTTGTACAGAAAGTAGGGACGTACATACATCAAATTGTCTTTCAACTAAGTGGCAGCAGAAGAATTATCGTTGAACTTTTGAAAGGTAAACTTGAATATTAATGCAATACTTAAATGCAGAAATCAATTTTGAGTTCTTCTGTAGTTTATTGTTGCTTATCACATCTACTCCTCCCTAACGACTGTGATGAAGATCCTAATTAATTGCCCTACGCAGAAGCTAGCTTAACCTAGTACATATATAAATCGGGAAATTGCATTACTAAATGAAACTAATTGTGACAAGTTTGTCAGACTTATAGTGTGTGTGTGTGTGTGTGTGTGTATGTATGTATGTATATATATAGATATATTTTCTGAAATATCAGATAACACATGTCAAACGCTAAACCAATGGTCAGTCAGTTATGTGCCATGCATGATACACGCTTAGCTGATCATGTATCTTTCGATACATGACTGATGAGGCAGATTTTTTTCCTGCAGTAGGTTGCCATTTCTTTCTGCAGTAGACCAGTTGCTAGCCAAGACTATAGAACCTGGTCTGTCCTGCTACTTATCCATAGCTGGGGGGAGGGGTAGAAAAAGAGAATTCATACCTTTCACAAGGCTATTATTATCATGTAAGTGAATGTAGTGGATTCAACTGGAATTTGAACTTGGCTCTCCAATTCATCAATCTGAACCACTATGCATTACTCCACGTGCCAGAACTATCTAGAAACAATTACAATAAAAATGATAATGAAAAGAGCTTTTCACTATTATTGTGTAGGTATTTACTGCTTTCATCAAGCCCCTTTAATGGGGGGTAAGATGATACTCCAAAGCACACTGAATGCTTCCAGGCTCAAGTACAGACCTGACCAATGCATATTTTCAGGCTCAAGTAGACATGTGACAATGTAATCATCTTAGGAAAGAAATCTTATGAAAACATGAGGTGGTAGGGTTAAAAGCATACATAAGGCGAGAGTTGAGAGGGAAGAAAAGAGGGTGATGTTAAATTGAATACAATATATAATTTTAGAAAGAGGACAAAGATTTCACTGAGATGGATCATAGTGTTCTTCAATCTGCTCATATTCATAAGTAATTTTGTGGACAGACAAAAGAATTTATCTGGCCCTAAGCACTTATGCAGGATGCACAACCAGAATCTTCCATGAATACAAGTCGCTGAAATACGCAGACAGTTCGGTTCAAGCCCAATTTCAGTTGACAGTTTTGTCAACTAGCTCATCATGTCAAGCACACCTGAAAAGTAGTTTTGTTCCTACAAATTTCCTAGCATTGGACAATGCGACTGAAGAAAGGTAAAAGCCAAAAGCTTTTTATTTATCTTCCTGTACCTACCAACCGTTTTCAAATAACGTAATTTCACCAGACAACATTTTTGTTGTTTTTCTTTTAATAAATCATTATTACAAGTAGTGACCAAGCCTGGCCAACAGACTCAAGTACAGAGAGAATCGATATAATAAAAGACAGACTGGCATTAGATAACTAAGTAATGTTTTAACATCTATAGACTCAATTGTTATCAGAGAGCATTTTGTGCAGGTGTTCATATACAGTTTTCTGTCAACAATTTTGTTGTATGACTGAAAATTGTTTTAGTTAAAGTCTGTGGCAAAGAGCAAAGTATAGGGTGAAATGGAAAGATGCCTTTTCAAATGACTTTCTTCAAACACAGAAGAAAACAGAAGAAATCATTTATTTTAGCCATAACTCTTTCCCTATTGGCCACTTTTGATAAGATGAGTATCACTTCAAACAAATGAGATAGAGGGACATATCTCAATAATTATGTCAAAAGGTCAAGATCAAATGATATATAGATATCATCGCAAATGTATACAATGTTGAAAAATATTTGCAAATATCTCAATTCATAGACATAAATATTTTTATGCCATTCTTAGTCTTTAATCTTCTTTAGAAAATTTTATGATACATAAAATAATGAAAACAAAAATTCTTCAATTTCACCTCTCTCTATTTATATATATGTATATATATATATATTATATATGCAAACACAAATGGCAAAATACTTTATATATATATATATATATATATATATATATATATATAGGAAATATCCATAAATATATAGATGAATAATACATTGTTTAAAATTTGTTATGTTTATAAAGGAAGAATACTCATTATTGCAGACAGCATTTATACAGTACAATGTTGACATTGGAATCAACACTGTTGACTCAGTTTCACAATTCAATGTGATTTTCAGTCTGAGACTTTCTCTCACTGTCATATATATATATATATATATATATATGACTCATCGTTTATCGATGTATGAGGATCAAGCAGCACAGTTCCTAGGAACTGAGAGCTCAGACACCAGCACATGATTTGATTATAGTGGTGATGGTTTTGTGCACAACTAACCACACTTTTTGAAGGGCTGAATATAGAGACCTGGTACACTATGTGCCACAAGGTCCCCAAACGACCCTCTGCAGGTTTTGAATTCAGAGTTGTCCTTCTCCTAGACCAGTTATAGAAAGCAGTCTGTCCTTCTATTTATCAATAGCTGGAGAGAGAAGAGGATTCACACCTTTCCCAAGGGTATTAGCATATAAATGAATGTAATGGATTCAATTGGAATTTGAACTCGGCTCTCTGATTCCGCAATCCAAGCCGCTACCCATTACACCACTGTATAATATATATATATATATATATATATATATATATATATATACACACACACACACACACACACACACACACACACACAAAGCAAGGATAACTTGTCATCTACATTACACAAAAATGAAAATACCACTGACATCTCATTATATTTACCAAAAATTACACAATAATATCTGGAAATAGCAAAGAATAAATTTATTCAATAAAATCCCCACTGGCTTTAACCACAGCCTCCAGACGACTTTGGAATCTCCTCCAACTCTTCTGAATGGCCTCCTTGTTTAAGTTGGTGAATGCTGCCATAATCCTTGCTTTCAGTTCATCTTCGGTGTTACTAAAAGTTTTGTTGGTCTCTTATTCACTCAACACACAATAATCAAGGTGGGAGTAACGAAATGCAGAAATTGTCCGTACAATCCATTGTCCCAAGCGCTTTCAGCCACTTCTTCAGCCATTTTTTTTTGGGGGGGGGGTTAATTTGTCTTCATGTTAGACAGTTTAAGATGTAGGTTTGGTTTATTTTGTTTTACGACATATCAACCTCAATGGGTTATTTAATGCCAACAACATTTTTAGGATAGATTTGTATGAACAGAATATGTATTCTTTGGTTTAGATTGGTTTGGTTTATTTTGTCCCACAGCACACCAACCCCAATAGGCTACTCAATGCTGACAAAATTCTTTATTGCTGGTAATATTTTGTTTTGTCAAAAATCTGTTTCTGGTAATAATTTTTCCTTCAAAATTGTATTGCTGGTAATAATTTTTCCAAAAAAGTATTGCTGGTAATAGTTAACTATTTGCCCATAGATGGGACCCTAAAAGGTGCTACCACCCCAGGTCAGGGTGGACCTGGGAACACCAGCAATTAAGAGATGGTTCCATGCTCCTCAAAACCTCCTGATCAGAGGCCTTGCTGCTGGATGTAGTTTAACATCTTACTCAGGACGAGTCTAAGATGTATTTTTTAAATCAAAGTGCTATAAAAAAAGCACATACCACTCACAATTTACAAGAACCCTTAAGGAAAAGTCTGGTCGAAAAGACTAACAATTTATATAAATCACTTTACTGGAAAACAACTCACTGTGATTCACCTTATACAACAGCAGAAATGCTGTGTCAAAAGTTTTTGTTTTTTTCTTTTAAAATAGAAAGATGCTCACTGGAATTCTAGCTGCACTCAACTTGAGAAGCTTGGAATAAACATTCCTACTAGTATTCAAAACACAAAAAATACATCTGAAATAGGCAAACTTGAAGATAAATTAACACCTAAAATCAAGCACCCATGAAAATGGTTAAAGAAGGGGATAGGGGACAAAAGAACATGGGACAAGGGACAATTTTTGCACTCCCTTCCTCCCACCAAATTGGAAAATGTAAGAATGTTGGAAAAACTAAATAAAAAATTAATTAAATTTTCACTGTCATATTCAACAAAAACACACACACACACACACACACACATTTTTTATATATATATATATATATATATATATAAAAAGATATTTTTGTAGGTACAAAATTTAATGATCGAAATAAAAGTATAAAATTTAATATTACGAGACATATTAAAAAAAAAAAAAATCATCATATATATATATATATATATATATATATATATATGCGAGAGTGCCATATGGACTGAACATGTAGCCAATGATAAAAGTTTTAGAGAAAAAAAAAATGACATTGATGTGTAGCATCAAGATTAAGTTAAAATTTCTAGGGCACATAATTAAGAAAGAAGGCTTGGAAAATTTGACACTCATAGGATATATTGAAGTCAAGAGAAGAAAGCAATGCATAACCTATCTATCGAGCTTGTGTAAATGGCTGGCAGAACAGGTATTAGGAGAGAAAAAACAAAAATACGGAATTTATTAAAGTGCTACAACCGATGGAAAATTATGGAGAGCCATGATCTGCAGCATCCTGAAAAAGCATGGCAAATAGTTGGCTCCCTTTGCCATAACTTCTATTTTGCATTCCTTTCCAGTTGCTACACACTCGTTGTTATGATTTTCTTTATTAATGGCTCCCATATGGTATTTATATCTATACTAGGCCTACTGAATTCCTTGGTATTAACTGGAACCTCAGATTGTAAAATAACATGTGCCTACAGAGTTCATTGCAGAGATAAAGATCCCGAGTTATTCACGCAGAAAATATAACAAGAATTAATTTAATAAGTGCAATGAGAACGAGTGAAAATCTGGTGAAATTTTATTTAGTCAGAAAGTTTGTTTTATTTTTCTTAAATTAATTATACAAGTAACAAATTCTAATGTAAACAAATTTCAAGTGATAAAAGAGGAGTAGAGACAGCTCCCTAATAACGCACAACTCATCCTTTTGCTTGAATAATGACACCGATATAACAAGGCGCGAAGAACCAGATGCCAGAACCATAGTAGGAATATTCTAGGGCTGTTCGTAACTGAGTTGTGTTTCTTGGGTGACAGCAAAGAACTTAGTGATACCTACAATATATCCTCAATGGGATTTAAAATCTGGTGAACACGGAGTGTTTCTGGAACCTATGTCTATTATCATTATTTTGTTAAACAAAAAGTTTAAAAGAGCCATTTTTTTATAGCAATTAAATGCTGAAAATTTTTCGTTTTTTAATTTCAATTTAAAATTTCAGCATCCCTTCTTCATGCACATGTGTAATCACATCAACATAAACAACACTTTAGTCCAATGAAGTCCTGAAGTAAGAAACATCACAGAAAAGGTCTTTCCGTTTTGTCACATATTTTTCTAAAATGTGTACATAATAAATTTTTGGAACATTTACACAAAATAATATACATTTTTCTAGTAGGGTATCAGAATAATCCAATCAGCAAAGATAGAAAATTGTCTCCAAGAGCAAACAACAATACTTCAAGCTCCACACTCTTCTAACTCAGACAGGGCAATGCGAAACCCGACCAAAGACCCTCTTCCAACTGCAGCAAGGCATGTAATGGAGGTTGGGGTGGTAGCTGGGTGCATGCAACCAAGATAAATTAAAGTGAATCTTACCCTTCTACTTTTTGTGAATCATGGGCAGTGAAGGGACCTATATAAAATGCCAAATCACTTGAAAATTTACTCCTCCATTCCCAAAATCTGAGACACAAGTTTTCAACCAGGGCTGAGACATCACAAGTTGGATATTCAAAATCATCAGGGAACTTGAGGAAAAAAAAAACAAAACAAAAAACTGATGCCTTAATAAATAAATTAAAAAAAAAAAAGAAAAGAAAAGTCTGCTCCCTTTTTATTAGGGTTGGATGTCCTTTTAAGATTATTCTTTCTTTCTTTCTTTCTTTCTTTCTTTTTTTGTTCTTTTCTTTGCTGGGTTTTTTTATCCCATCCTTTTTATTTAAAATCTGTTCTTTTTTTCTTAACTGTTTTTTGTCACTGTTTCTTGTTCTGTTCTTCACATTCTTTTTTTTTTTTTTTTCTACTGCCACTCACTCTTTTTCATGACTTCTACCAACCACTCCTGCTCCTTTTCCTTTGGTCAACCTCTCCCTTTCCTCTAACTTTCACTAATCTCTTCTTTTCCTTCTACTTTGGCAAATGTCTTCCTTTCCTTTTTTCCTCCTACTTCTGCCAACCTCTCTTTTTTCCTTTTCCTCCTACTTTTGATAACCTCTTTCCTTTTCCTCCTACTCTTGCCAACATCTTTTCCCTCCTACACTTGCCAACCTCTCTTTTTCCTTTTCCTCCTACTCTTGCCAACCTCTCTTTTTCCTTTTCCTCCTACTCTTGCCAACCTCTCTTTTTCCTTTTCCTCCTACTCTTGCCAACCTCTCTTTTTCCTTTTCCTCCTACTCTTGCCAACCTCTCTTTTTCCTTTTCCTCCTACTCTTGCCAACCTCTCTTTTTCCTTTTCCCCCTACTCTTGCCAACCTCTCTTTTTCCTTTTCCTCCTACTCTTGCCAACCTCTCTTTTTCCTTTTCCCCCTACTCTTGCCAACATCTTTTTCCTTTTCCCCCTACTCTTGCCAACATCTTTTTCCTTTTCCTCCTACTCTTGCTAACATCTTTTTCCTTTTCCTCCTACTTCTGCCAACCTCTCTTTTTCCTTTTCCTCCTACTTCCACTAACCTCTCCTATTCCTTCTGATTCTTTGCCTTTCATCTGTCTTTGATTCTAATTGCATACCTTTCTGCCCTTTCCAAAACAGTCTAGTTATCCCCCCCCCCGCCCCCAATTCCCAGCCTCAACTACATCTTTCCCAATTGCAACAGAAAGTTGTTCATCATTTTTGACAGGCAATTCAGTGTATAGGGTTGGGTGGGGAAATTATTAATAGTTACCTTTGGCTTTTCTTTCGACTTTCTTCTGTTGTAGGGTGGGGTGAAAAAAAAGAGGGTTGGCTGTGTCTTTAGTTGGACATTTTTGCTAATTTAAAACCTTTCTCTTTTATAATCTTTTTTTTTGTCTACTTTTATGTTTAAATTTGGATGTTTTGTTACAACAATGACAGATGAGTTTTAGTGCAGAGAAAGAATGATTTTGAATACTGCTTTCTGGCACAAACATCTATATGGGTCATACACATTGACATAATTCCCTTTTACACTGATAAATTCAAGCTGAACAAGGCTGTTCTTTTGGCATCTCTAATGAAATACCAGACAAAACATAAGGATCATATCTTTATGTATTTCCACTACTTGAAGACTTATTTGTCAATATAACAAAGGTATTTTTATAACCCCACCCCCAGCTAATGTACATAATGAATTATATATTGTCATCCTGTTGAAAACAAGACTGTTCTTTTGACACTATTCACATAATTTCACTAATAAGGGAAAAACATATGTGAACAGTAAACAATGTTCATTTTAACATCCTATATATATATATATATATATATATATATATATATATATATCTCATTAATGCATGTTTCATTAAATAATGTAGACAAGTTTTGTCTATTTATTTTAAGTAAGTTCCTTTCATATTGTCTGATAAGCTTAAACACAATATCATTGAAAGACGAAATGAAAACACCATATTGACACACGTTTAAATCTAATCTAAGCTTTTGGCTTACATAAGCCATTATGAAAGATGACAATTTCAATATATCAAACAACACATGGGCAAAACAACAATGATAGTCCGCCAATAGCTTCCCATACTTAATACTTCTCGTTTTCACTCGTGTGGTCGTGTGTGATGTCATGAGCTGTGACGCGATTTTCGCGTACATGTCTTGTATAAATGAGTTTGTCGTTGCTTTGAAATTTTTCATGCAACAAAAACAGACTATCATTATTGTTTTGTCTGTGTATTGGTTGATATATTGAAAAGTAATTGTCATCTAAAATTCACACACTGATGTGTACTAGTGGATAAAAGCATTGGTTGAATTCAGTGACTTGACCCAAAGAGTTGCAAGTTCAATACTTGTCTACAGGTGAAGGGAACAAAAACTTGGACAGTTGAATCAAAGGTAGAGAACTAATAATGAGACATCCAGAAGAGGCATGGCCTGTAGAACTAGAACAACCTACCCGAGTGAACAAAATAAAAGGTTTAGTCTGAAATTCCAATCACCTGAAGAAGTCTGGGGTATACAACAGACAAAACATCATGAATACAGCACTGAAGATAAAATCAACAATCGAAACAATGTAAACAGCGTAATTAATTAAAATACCTCATCTCAGAAATATAGATAGGTTTTTAATATGATCTAAAAAAAATGTAAGATTTACTTTATATACATGCAAGGTATTTTTGCTGTACCCTTTATATATTATAGATGCATAGTAGTTCATTTGAGAGCAGCTTTTATTGAGAAATCAGACAGTTGAGTTTTAATTCCAGTCAAGTTCATTACGTTTACTTATATGCAAATACCCCTCGTGAAAGTTATGAATCCATCTGTTCTCTCCCCCAGCTATGGGTAAAATAACAGGACAGACTGGGTCCTATAGCCCTAGTAGGCAACTCATCTACTCATCACAGAGAAAGGCAACTCTGAATTCAAAACCTGAAGAGGGTCATTTGAAAATTGCATCACACACTGTGCACCTGTTCTCTGAAATTATTTCTTCTAAAAGGTGTGGTTGGTTCTGCACAAGTCTTCACCACTATAATTGAATCAGATGTGTGAGTAGTCTGGCTGTTTGGTTCTAAAAACTGAGTTACTGTACATAAAAAATGAGGGATATATATATATATATACACCCTCCAAAGAGATATTCTTAAATGGCTATAATTGATAACAGAAGTCATTGGTTGGTTGGTTGGATTTTATGCCATATCAACCACTGTAGGTAATTTAATGCCAAATTTAGTTAGATTATATATATATATATATATATATATATATATATAAAATATATAGTACTAGTAAACGTATAGCTGGCACCATTATTTTTTTCAAAAACGTATAGCTGGCAACATTATTTTTTTTTCAAAAACATATAGCTGGCAACATTATTTTTTAACGTAGTTTATCGCCATACACAGGACGCGGATGTAGTTTATCGCCATACACAGGACGCGGACGTAGTTTATCGCCATACACAGGACGCGGACGTAGTTTATCGCCATACACAGGACGCGGGCGTAGTTTATCGCCATACACAGGACGCGGACGTAGTTTATCGCCATACACAGGATGTGGATATATGATGGGAAAAACTGGGAGTTCACTATTTGCCCATAGCTGGGACCCTAACAAGTGCTACCACTCTGGGTCAGGGTGGAACTGGGAACACCAGCAATTAAGAGGTGCTTCCACGCTTCCTCAAAACCTCCTGATCAGAGGCCTTGCTGTTGGATGTAGTTTATCGTCTTACCCTGGACACAGAAGCCATTGGTTCATACCAACTGCTTCCCATACCTAATACTTCTCATTTTCACTCTTGTGTGGTCATGTATGATATCACGAGCTGCGACACAATTTTCTCTTCCGTGTCTCATATACATGAGTTAGTCATTGCTTTGAAATTGTTCA